TCCAAACAAAGTAAGGAAAGCAATCCCAAATGCTTTCATTTACTTAAAATTATTTGGCAGAGAATTCGACACTTTAATGATGGTCTGGGCCTGGCTGGGGCGATGGCACACTGGCCCACAGAGAGAGCTCTGAGTGCCACCTCTGGCACCCGTGCCATAGGTTCGCCACCACTGGCCTAGAGCATCCCTGACAAGCGGTTGTCCAGACGCTGCTTAAAGACTGCCAGCGAGGGGGAAATTGTAAACAAGCTGTATTCTTGGTACTTCTTCAATATATGATAACATATCTGTGAAATTTATCCTTAGATTTCTTACGCAGAACTCGCAGCGGCCTGGCAGGAAAAACGAATCCATGCTGGTTTTTAGTGTTTCAGTAGATTCTGAAAAATCCCTGCCTACACAAATAACATAGTTTAACTAGTTAGTTAGTTAGTTTACCTTTATTGGCATTATAAAAGACAAATACATACAAGGATTGAACACAGAATAAATGACTAATTAAAATGTCCCAAAATTGCAGTATCTTACTTCGTAGAAGAGCAGCAGCATATTTGAGATTTAGTTAACTAGTTAATCTAATGTTCTGTTTAATCTTTTAGTAAAAATCTCACAGGCAACAACATCACCCTGTTATTTTAAGCGCTCAGACCAGAATAGCACCATGGTGCTTATATTGAAGACTTTTGTATGGCTGAAATACACACACAACAAATACTATTGCAGTTAAGCCGCAGAAGGCCAAAGTAGGTGCCTTCCCTGGTGCCCCATCTCCCTCGCAGTTGTCTGTATTTGAGCATTCTCATTTATTGGCTGAGTGTTATGACTTGGAGGGTGCTAAGTCGGCCTCTCATTCCAGCAACCAGTAAAGCCACTGAGCTGTTTGTTTGGAACTGAACCAGAAGGCCTCTGCAGAGCTACCTGCTGTTGGTTCTGCCTCTTGGGAGGAGGGCTCCAAGGCCTTTTATGGGAATACTGCGTAGATGGCCAAGCAAATCAAAACCACCAAAATATGCATAGGAAACAATGCTGAGGTGATTGATACAGAAAAGCAAGTTAGATACTCAAACACGGCTGTGTTTTGGGAGAGGAGCCCACACCAAGGGAAGGAGATTACCGTCCTCAGCATAGTTTTCTACGCATATTTTGGTGGTTTTGGTTTGCTCGGCCATCTACCCAGTATTGTCGTACTGCTTGTGTTGTACCCCTTTAAAAAGCTAATCTTCCCTTAGGGCAGTTAAGACTTCCTGACGTACAGGAAATTCACAAATACCCACACCCCCAGTGACCCCTGTTCCATGCCAAGAAGATGACAAAAAACCTCCAGGATCCCCAGGCAAACTGGCCTGGAGAAAAATTACTTCCTGACCCCAAAGTGGCAATCAGCATTTCCCTGGGTGTGTAAGAAAGGGCCACAAGAACTAAGCACTTATATACAACCCTTCCTGCCTTCCCTGTCATGCTCTTCCCAAGTTCACAGAATCAGCATTGCTGTCAGATGGCCATCTAGCCTTTGTTTGAAAACCTTCAAAGGAGAGCCCACCACCTCCTGAAGAAGCCTGCTCCACTGACGAACCTCTCTAATTGTCAGGAAGTTCTTCCTAATGTTTAGCCAAAAACTTCTGATTTAATTTCAACCTGTTGGTTCTGGGGCAACAGAAAACAACTCCACACCATTCTCTATGTGGCAGCCCTTCAAGTACTTGAAGATGGCTATCATATCACCTCTCAGTCATCTCCTCTCCAGGCTAAACATACCCAGCTCCTTCAACCTTTCCTCATAGGACTTGGTCTCCAGACCCCTCACCATCTTCATTGCACTCCTCTGGACCCATTCCAGCTTGTCTATATCGTTCTTAAATTGCGGTGCCCAAAATTGAACATAATACTCTAGGTGGAGTCTAACCAGAACAGAGTAAAGTGGTACCATCACTTTGTGTGATGTGGACACTACTTCTGTTGATACAGCCCAAAATGGCATTTCCTTTTTTAGCTACCGCATCACCCTGCTGACTCATGTTCAGTGTATAGTCTACTAAGACCATAAGTTGACTTCATATTAGTTAATTAAAGGTTGTTTGTGGCAAGAGGGAGAACCATGGATACAGTTGTTGATAGACTCGCTTTTGTTTTCATGCATGAGCCAATCTCCCTTGTAGGGGAAAAAAACCACGAGGGGAGGGTCGGAGCATGGGACCAATTGTGAATAAGTTCTGAAGCCTTTCTCCGACAGCGTTGGCTTCTCTGCAGGGCATCGGAAAGGGCTTCATGATCGTGGAACAATGCTGGTTTGAATTCATTACCATTGATAACTCCATCACAGAAAGCATTTGAGGATTAGATTAATCTCCTTTCATTAAGCATCTTTTTAGTTAGAAGCATCATGGTGGCTTTATGTCAGCCGGTGATATTGATAATTAATTTCCAGTGATGCTGCCGCCAGTTCTTTATGTTGTTCTCTACAGTCTACGACGAGTTCTGTATATGGGTAATGTCATACAAGTGTGCACGCACACGAATAAGTTTATACCTTGAATAAAACTTTATTGGTCTTAAAAGTGCCGCTGGACTCAAACTTTGTTCTGCGGCTTCAGACCAACATGGCTACCCCCACCTGAATGAATAATGTTGTTTCAGTAGCCTTTTAAAAATTTGAGCATCGGATGTTTTCTGTTGTTCTTCCACTTTGAAAATCCCAACTGTGTATATTAAAAGTTCCATTATTTTTCTGTTTAAGCATACAAGAACCTGAGCCAGCTGGGCCTGGACCATCTGTTATGCAGAACAGGCAAGGCTACTGCAGCTGCTGCCACGTACACTACAGTAACCTGGAACAGGTATGAGAGCTGGACTTATCCTCATCGTCCATTACAGAACACTGTTTTCCATGATGCATAGAAGGGCTTTGAAATGTACATGGCTGAATGGGAACGTTTAAAAATAAGGAATAGGACGGCTTATGGCGTGCACACAGATTCCTTTTTATTCCAAGTTAAGCAAGTTTTATGCTAGATCTGGGTGGGCAGCCATGTTGGTCTGAAGCAGTAGAACAAATTTTGAGTCCAGTGGCACCTTTAAGACCAACAAAGGTTTATGCAAAGTATGCGCTTTTACGTGCATGCACACTTCCTCAGATACATTGAAATGGAAGCTAACAGCTTATACATATAGGCAACAGTGTTCCTTCTGAGCTGAGTTAGTGTGAGCTAGCTCATAGATTTGTAGCTTCCGGCTCACACATTTTTGTCTTCGCTCTGGAAGGATGTCTCCAGAGCAAACTTATTTATGCAGTAGCCAAATCACTCACTCACAACTTTAATGCCAGTAGCTCACAAAGTAGAATTTGTGCTCACAAGACTGCACAGCTTAGAGGGAGCATTGATAGGCAGATGCCTATACGTAGGTGAACAGCAAATTAGCATACAACTTAATGAAGATGTTTTGACATATGCAAAGGCCAAACAGCAGTAACAAGCTAAGTTTGTATGGTCACCATTTGTTTGGATTTAATTGGGAGGGGGAATAGTGAAATAATATGCCAAAATAGGAGATAGATAAGAACATAAGAGACGCCAATGTTGGATCAGGCCAAAGGCCCATCCAGTCCAACACTCTGTCACACAGTGGCCAAAAATACCAGGTGCCATCAGGAGGTCCACCAATGGGGCCAGGACACTAGAAGCCCTCCCACTGTTGCCCCCCACCCCAAGCACCAAGAATACAGAGCATCACTTGTCCCAGACTGAGAGTTCCTGTCTATACCTTGTGGCTAATAGCCACTGATGGACCTCTGCTCCATATGCTTATCTAATTCCCTCTTGAAGCCATCCATGCTTGTAGCCTCCACCACCTCCTGTGGCAGTGAATTCCATGTGTAAAAGTATCCTTCTAAGAGTAATAAACTGTGTCAAAACATCTTCATTAAGTTGTCATGCTAATTTGCTGCTCATCTATATCGAGGCATCTGCCTATATATTTGAACTGTTAACACGGCCCTCCAGCCGTGCACCATCCTCAAGCTGTCTCCATGGAGGAGGTGTTTGTAGGTACACTCCGTCCCAGTGGTCGGCGACGCTGCTTTCCAAACATTGCTGGACTCAAAAGTTTAATGCTAACAATTGGTTGTCCAAATTGTAGTTCTCTACCAACTCAACTTTGAGAAAAGCATGCTGGAGGTAAAAACGTGAACCAGGGGACAACACAGGCCTGCCCGTCCCACAGAAAATCCTGATTCTTCCCCCCAGTCAGCCTTAGCTCCTCCCACTTCTCGTGGCTACACTGCTTGAGCTGGACTCATGCTGTTGGGAGAGGCGGTAAGGAATTGCACAAGATTTACCCCCTTCCCCTTTTCCCCTTGCCTAGCGTGTCTGGGAGGAAAGAGTAGAACCTTTTGGCCAGAAGACCCTCTGCCCCAGAACTGAGAGCAGGAGGAGGGAATGGTAACCTGAGAGCACAGCTTCCATTACAGGATTTTCTTCCCATACTGCTTTGTAAACCGCTGGTCTAGAGGTGCAAATTATATGAGTGCTCAAGGATGTAACTGACTGTGGCAGGGCAGAAGGTGCAGCGTCCTGTAGCTTCACTATCTACCCTCCAGGCCCCCTTTTTATTATCTTCACTTTTTCCTTAGTCATGTGCCCTGTACAAATGACCCATCTGTGCACTGATTGATGATGCAGGGAAGAAGAGCGGACACGAGCGCACGGCCCTCCAGCCGTGCGCCATCCTCAAGCTGTCTGCATGGAGGAAGTGTTTGTAGGTACACTCCGTCCCCGTGGTCGGCGACGCTGCTTTCCAAACATTGCTGATCACGGGGAGGAAGTGCACACCGTGTGTTCGCGCCACTCAGGCGACTTGGTGGTTGCATCGTGGCTGGGGGTGGGGCCAACACTGTTACGCCCGCGCTCCCTCAGCCAGTCAGTGTGTGGACAGGTCCCCCATCTAGGGCTAACACTAACTCCAAATTTTGCTATTACTCCAAATCACTGTCTCCCTCTGTTTTTGCCTAGTTAGATGCTGTTCTAATCTCCTAGTTAGATTCTGAGATCCCAGAAATTACAGTTACAAGCTTATCACAATTAAAAGCTTATTAATAATACATGCACCAGAATCCCTCTTGTACTTGTGTGTTCTAATGGAGGCAATTTTCATTTTGCATAACTTTATGAACTTGAATCAAATGGCTTATAAAACCAAACTTCTCTTCCCCTCTCCCCCCCCCCCCCCCCCCCCAGCATGTATACAGTTCCCAGCATAGACTCTTTGCCACTTACTGTCGGAATCGTTCGGGTACCACTAGTTTGATGGAACGCTTTCTACAAGACGTGCTGCAGCATCATCCCTCCAGCTACCATGACAACAGGTAAAGGTCCAGCTTGTGGCTTCTCCGGCTGTTCTGTACACGCTTTGTAGTATGTTGCGATACAAACGCTGCAGATCCACTATTTTTCCTCCCGACGCATCTGGAGAGGGAAAGTTTACTTGGCATAAACTTTGAGACTCAGGTTTCAAAGGGGAGAACGGTATATGACTGGAGAATTTAGTTAAATATTTTTGCACTTGTTACCGGGGTCGATAAAAATCAGTTTTTAAAAAAATCAAGATTCTTAAAATCAGATGGGGTGGGGGGCGTCAAATACTGGCTTGGATCCCTCCCAGTGAGCACTTCTGCTCATGGAAGGATTTCTGTCACTGCAGCATAACTTTCTGACTCCCCCTCCTTCCCACTGTAGGCCCAAATATCACCAGAAATCAGGCCCTTAGCCAGGATTCTATCATTCGGGGGGCCTTTAAATAAGTCAGGGGGCACTGACGTCACAAAAATAAGATAATAAATATTTTAAAGACTCACTTTTGCAGCGTTTGCACTCTGCCCGCCTAATCCAGGGAAGCGAGCCACGCTTGGGGAAGGGGAGGCGGTGGGGAGTCTGCTGGGTGGATCAGAGAGCTGGTAGTCTTCCAGGCGGCCGAGAGAACTGAGGGGGGGGGGTGAGGGCTGGATGGAAGTCAGGGGGCCTTGGCAGGAAGTTGGGAGGGGGGAGGCCCCGAAATGCCCCACTGTAGCTACGGGTCTGCCAGAAATGCTGCTCCTTGGGATGGGGAACCAGCGTGAACCAGGGGGAGTCGGAGTTCTGCGGCGGTAAGGGGGAAGCAATGAAAATTCGCGCGCACACCCCATCAGTGGAAACCTTCCCCAGAATCCAATCCATTAAACTTCTAATTCTCAAGGTAAAATAAGTCTGGTCACAATCCTGTTAAATCAAGGGGCCGTGGGCTTAGTGGAAGAGCCTCTGCTTGGCTTGCAGAAGGTCCCAAGTTCAGTCCCCAGCATCTCCAGGTAAAAGGATCAGGTAGCAGGTGATGCAGAAGGCCTCTGCCTGAGACCCTGGAGAGCCACTGCCAGTCTGAGCAGACACTACCAACCCCAATGGAATGATGGTCTGATTCAGTATAAGGACGCTTCATGTGTGTGCTTCCCTATGTGTTTACCCATAATCAATCTCTCTCTCTCTTGGGTTTTCAAGGCAAGGGACACTCAGAGGTGGATTGACATTGCCTGCCTCTGCGTCATGACCCTGGCATTCTTTGGTGGTCACCCATCCAAATGATGACCAAGGCTGACCCTGCTTAGCTTCTGAGA